TCGACTATTCACAGCCACACCCACCACCTATTTCACTTGCGTTGTCGTTTCATATTCGCAGGTACGGCTATTGCACATGCGTCCTCCATCCGTCTTTCTACATCCCCCTCACCAAGTGGTCCGGGCTTTGCTCATCACACCACGATGCCCCTCCAGCGTGTTGAGGCACAGCGTGGTGCGATGTACAAACATCTTGGCAGCTAGACAAAGCCTGATGGCTGCTCTTCAAGGTTTATCAGAAGAACCAGAAGTTAAATTCCCTAAGTCGAGCCCATTGAGCTAAAACGTAATTTTTCAAGGGGGTTTTAACTGGCAGACATCATCAAAGCATTCCACAAGTACACAAAAACAAAGATTTCCTGTATAACCTTATCAGATTGTTGTGGCAAGTGCTGTTAGCGAGCACCTACGAAGGCCGGCACTTCACACAAGGGGGTGGGGTGCCCAGCACCACGCCCGGCCGCCTTTGTCTCTCTAGTTTTTACGCACCACACCAGGTAATAATTTGAGGCTGAGTTGACCTAGGGGAGGCCCAGCATCAGTTCAGATAATCGTTATTGGTGTTGGCCGTGAGCGGGAATCGAACCCGGGTAACCAGGTTCATAGAACAGCGCTGGAACGACCACAATTACACACCCACTCACACACACACTCTCCCACGCACTAATACACCCACACACTCATCCACCCTCCCACTCACCTACTCTCACACACACTTCAGAATCAGAAAAATTAGAAGTTTACTTCCCTGACGAGAGCCCACTACGACCCTGCAGATGTGATCAAGTTTGTCTTTGGTGGCTTGGCCCTCCCCAACTCTCTGTCCAGCACGAAAGACCCGGGCAACTAAAATAACAATGTAAATATGAGACGTGTATTTATACGTACGTGTTGAACTTCTTTCACATGGAACGTAGCCAACCGTACTAATCGGAGGTTTATAAAAATACAAACTAAACAGAACAAGTAGCAGTTCTACAGAAATTAATTTGTCAATTTTGATTATTTAAAAGTGCAAAGCTCTGGTAGCTTACTGACTGAACCGGATCAGTCTTGCACTCAGGTGGCAGCGGGTGGGATGCGTTGTGCATGACTTGTACGAGTGGCAGAACTGGCGAGACCTGTATTTCTGTATGGGGGTGGTTTTGTTGCAATCAAGTTGATGGATTGCATTTTGAAGGCATTTCTTTCAATCTCCATGATGCTCATTCTTGTTTTTTTTTGCCATACTTCAATCGGCACCCTGGACACCCTCTCCTGTGCTCTATATATCGGGTCTTGAAAATTTTATTAAAATAAATGGAAATTGAGAAATTTGTAATTTTCCGAAACTATGCAAATTTATGTAATAATGCAAAAATGTATGATATTCATGGAGGTGTAATTGTATTAAGTTATGCAAGTGTATGCGATTATGCTAATGTATGTAATTATGCTCATTACGCTCTGCCTCGTTGTCCAGGGTTGTATTATCAATCGGGATAATACAATGATTCTCGCTTTAACTTTTACTGATTATCAGAATCAGAAAGGGTTTTATTCGCCATGAAAGTTCACACAGACACAGAATTTACTTTGGCAGGATGGTGCATACATTCAACATATAGGAATCTAAAATCTTAAATAAGTGGTAAACAAGTCTTACTATAATAAGGGTTCAAAGTCTAACTAACACCAAGGGGCTAAAGTATATAAAATTGAATAAATATCGAATATAAAATAGCTATAAGATACAATCTAAAAATAAAAAATACAAAGAGGGTAACATAGTTAATATTGGCAAGGTGTCATTTTGTGGATAAAATGTTAAAGTCAGTGTAAGCCCTTGGCCTTGTTTAAGAGGCC